ACCAGGAAAGTAAGATGGGACAGTTATGAAAGATCTGCTAAAATCTGGTGATATAACATGCATTGTTTTGGTGCTTTGTGACAGAAGGTCCAGTTCACCAAATCTGCTTGGGAACAGGCTCCGGTCCTCATACGTGTAGAGTTTTCTGAATTCTGAATTGACATTTTGATTCTCTATTGCCACCTCATAATAGATTTGTGTTTTGCACCATTGTAGCTATAGTAGAAGTGGTGGCCCTCACAAAGAAGTCACAGAACATGGGCCACACAAAGGCATAAAGACATGTGTGTGTGTGTGTGTGTGTGTGTATACACATTATGTAGACAGATAGCTACACACCTCTCTGTTGGAATAGTTGGAACAAAAACATCACCTTCAGATTTTCTCACCTCAAATTTGTACCTTTTGTTTTGAAAGTTGTACTCTGTCAAATCATGATTTTGATTTCATTCCTACCATGAATGATGACACTGATCTCTTTATGGTTCACCCCACTTTAGGATCCTGATGTGGTGACCATGCCCTTGCCTATAGAGTATGGACCTGTCCCTGAGGAGGAGGAGCATGTAGCCATGCAGCCTGATGACCCCTCAGTTCCATCCGTGATGGTGAATGCCCAGATGCCTGATGGAGAGGCTCCACAGCCACCCCCATCCTGTCCTACAGAAGAGAACCGGAGAGGTGGGGAGCACACCATCACGAATAGCACAGCATCAGAGGCCAAAGCACAGACATCAGCTCAGGCCCAGCCATGTAACCACAGGAACCAGCAACCTCATACACAGCTCTCCATTTCCATGACAACCACTAATGCAGTCACCTCCACAGCCATCTCTACAGTCACTGCCAAGGGACTGCACATCACCACACAGCCCACCCCTGAGGGGGGCCACATCAATCTGGCATTCACCCAGGGCCACCTACCAGAGAAGGACGGCCAAACTGGGAAGAACACCAGTCTCTGGAACCCCACATATGGCTCTTGGTTTCTGCAGCAGCAGCAGCAGAGGAAGCAGCAGCAACAGAGGCAGGGAGGGGTGGGGGGCACAGGAGGCAGCAGTGGCAGGGTGCCTGGCGAGGGACAGGAGCATGTAGGCCGGACGGTGGCTGAGGTGGCAGGGGCATTGGGTTTCCAGCACCAGCACAAGCAGTTCCAGCATCAGCTCCAGCTGCTGCACCATCAGCAGCAGCCAGGTCTCTGTAGACCTCTGTTACCCCCACCACCACCTCCTACTGCCCAGCCACCTCTGCTTTTAGATTCAGCCACCTTGCCCCCAGTTCCCCTTTACAGACTGAGAAGATTCCCCTGTGGGAACATTGGCTATGGCTACCAGGAGCAAGGCCTGCCACAGGAGTCTGCCTACGGCAACCCCAACCCCTCTCCTCCACCTCCACCCTCCCAGCAGAGCGCCTCCCTGCCTCCCTCAGCAGCTCACCAGAGAGGGGCCTCTATTCCCACCTCGGTGACCCTGGGTCGGTCAGGTATGTCAGAGGACAACCGCCCGATGCTAGTCACCATGGGGGCATTGCAGGACCCCAGACTGCCCAGGATGGAGGGCCACAATGCCACCGTGCTTTAGCCAGAGCGCCTGTACTGCTGGTCTTGTTTCAGGCCCCTTCTTTGAGACTGTGTGATTAGGCAACACAGAAGGAAACACTGTGTCAGGACAGAGACCGTTCTACATCACCCCTACTGTCCCCCATTTTGGTTCCTTCTTGATGAGACAGAGCTGATTGTGTCCATCAGGATTTTCCCATGAGACCACTGGAGGTGTGTTAAAATCCCCAATGGATGCTAAAGCATATCAAATAACTAATAAGCTTTGGGAAGCAAAATGTTGAGTAAAGGTTACTTTTCAGTGTTTAATAAATGTATTTTTTCAATGCTGGAGGGATCACGACTAAGAACACCACTAATCAAATGAAGAGTTTGTGGCACAGGAAGACAAGGGGACAACTTTCCCTCTGATCGAGGACATCAGTTGTTTGTGAGAATGGACTGTTAGCAGGATTCTTGTCTCTATGTTTTGCGAGATTTAAGACTTAAGTCACAAACACTGGTGACCAGTGAGGTTGTCTACAGCTGCCAGCCACATGTCAGTTCTACTGCAGAGCTCTCACACTGTTCCTTCTCTACATCCTTTTGGAAAACAGTGTGAAAAATAACTTGTATCAGACCATTTTTCAAAGTATCACCAAACTGGACACTGGATTAACAGAGACATTTATACAAAAAAAATACTGAGAAAATCTTTATTGATGTTTGCTTGCCTGCTTGTTTATTTATTCATTTGTTTATTTATTATTTGGAGGTGGCACTATAAATGGTGAACATGCTTTTTCAGATCCAAACATTTTACATCACCTGGTTTTCAGTTTGTTTTTTTAATATGCAAGAATTTCTTTTAGTAATATCTAACAAAAAGAAATTTGAACAATCCCCAAATTCAAACCCTAAATATCCTGAGTGGTTTGTTATAATACTTAGTTGTGTCCTTCTAGGTGGAGCAGATGGCTCAACACAGCAGTGAAGCAGACTTTGAAGACAAGTTGCCCTTTCTAACATTTGAGAGTTCAGCTTTTTGTTATTGCTGCAGATTTGCAAGAATTTGTTGCCCTGCTTGCACTAAAAATCACTGCTTCTTTGACTTCCCTTTTGTTCACTCCATTTTGCTGAACAAGTGCTTTGAGACAGTTGAGACTTTTTTTAATTATGGTTTTTTTCAGTAATGTTTTATTAATCCATTTCTTGTTTTAAAAAAGTGTTTCTTTCCCTTCTTTGTCTGGATATAGAAACAGCAGATATTGCTGAATCAATCTTAACCTTCAAATTGCTATCTTGAAGCACTCTACGCTTTTAAATTTGCATATTTTATCTTTTCTATTATAGGATGAGTGTTGCTGAATTTAAATGAGACTGAGTGAAATGTTTGAATACAAATTGCTCTTGCTCCACATGTGAATGAAACACTGGGCCAGATGGAAACTCCTCCTGCTCATTTTCACACACATGGTGTTAACACTTGTCTATGTTTTGTCTGCTTCTTTCGGTTTAGGGACAGTTGCATACCGTGTATCTATCACATAATACCATGAGTGTGGCGATGTTGATATTTAGGAGAATGAATGACAATATGACAATGCGTGTCACATTTTTGATGCTTTTGCTTGACTCTATTTGGCAATCCTGTCAGTATGTCTGCTATAAAGCAATGATGAGCTGTCATGCGTGTGTCACGTTGCTTAGTGACTAAGACAAATGCATTCCTGGGCAAGTTAAATATTGGCTAATGAAAAGTACTTTGCTTTGTCCTCAGTA